CTTCTTAGGACTATCCAGGAAGTTTTGGGAAGCAAGAGAAGAGGTTTGGGTTGAGTGGTTGTTCTTGGCAAGTGTTGGTAGACAGAGCAGAGGGCCTCTTTCCTTCTCTCCATGGTGCAGAGCCAAGGGATTCTTAGGCCCTCTGTTTCAGTAAAGTCCTGGCCAGGGGTGCAAGCGCGGTTCTGGGAGAGACAGAGCTGCCTGCCGTGGGGTTGACCAGAATGAAGGCTGTGAGGAGTGTAAAGACTCGAATGCTCATGTTCAAAGAGCATGCTCTTCATTCATTCATTCATTCATTCATTCAACAGAACATGAATGACCATGTTACCAGGTATTGCGCCCTATAGGGATATGAAGATAAAATTATTTAGAGATCCTACTCTCTTAAGAAAAAAAATAGAGGCCGTTTACTGAACATTTACTCTATGACAGAAATGTTTTAAATGCTTGCTGTGAATTATCACTTTACTTCTTGCACAGTCCTATAAGATAAGTGTCGTTATTCCCATTCAGCAGATGAAAACCTTGAGCTTACAGAGGTGACATTAAACAGATGCGTCAAGTTTGACAGTGGGAACTCTGGGATTTGAACCAAGATGAGCCTGACTTCAGAGCCCACTGCCTTTCCTTTAAACCAGCAGTTCTCAACCTGTGGGTCGCGACCCCTTTGGACTGTATTAAAGGTTCACGGCATTAGGAAGGTTGAGAACCACTGCTTTATACCCAGTGTCCCTGAGGCACACACAGGAATACACACACCGTGGACAACTGTAATATCAATAGTATGGCTGTGATGGGTTGCTCTGAGGGTAGAGACAGAGCACACGCTGAGCATGGCATGTGGCCCAGAAAGGGACCCACGGTGTGTTCTGTATCTTCCAGGGCTCGGCACGCAGGCCCTGGAACACGCAAAGGCATTTCGCTCAGTTCCCAGTAGGTGATGTAGTAGATGCCCGGCATCCTCAAAGCAGCAGGTTCTGAGTGTGAGAACTGTGGCTCGCAGCACAGGTGGTCTCACTGATAGGCTCTTCCTTCCCTCTTCCAAATGCCCAGTGTGAAATGCCAGCCTGTTTGGATCAGACCGGCACCCACACCCAGCGCCAGCTGCATCTAAGTGCTAATACATCTTCCTCTCTCCTGAAGCCAGCCTACCCTTTCTTCTGCCCTAATGAGACTTTGGGGCCCACCACAGGGGTTCCCCAGGTCCCTGATGCTTGAGAGCTTTATGAACAAAGATAACCCACATGTGGAGACCTGGCTGTTGAAATGGAGAAGAAAAATGCTGCTTAAAAAGATTAGTAGGAGGAAAAAAAATACTGGTGAGGAAAAGCATGTACATTACAAAAGCTGAACTACAAACCATCCTTTTAAATAGGTTTGGTTTTGATCTTTTGTTTTGTTTTTATTGGACCTCAGGGGCAAAGTATTGTATTAACCATCAATGCCTGGTTCATGAGACACTTTCTTCATGATTCATGCATGGTCTAATTTTAGTTAGTTTTTTAATTAGTTATTTTAAATAAAGGAATGAGTGAGCATTCACAAACTCACCACCCAAAACAAAAATTAGGACTTGGCAATGACCTACAAGTGGCTCTACCCCAACTTTGTGGCTCTACCCCGCCTCTCCCCACCTAAGGAAGCCTCATCTGCACGCCGTGTTCATGACTTCCTAAATAAGCTCGCCTCCCTCTCCATGAGAACGTCAGGAGCTTGACGGAATTTAGTAATATGCAGTCTTACGCTCTCCAGCATGCCAATGTAATTGTCATTTTTTTTTTAAATTAAGGATCTTAATTTCT